AACTTCACATCTGCAGACTTGGTCCTTACAAGGAAGAAAAATCCCTTAACAGGTTAAGAACTGACCAATGTTTGTAAGGTGGAAGATCACAGTTTCCTCCTGATTCTACTGTGGGGCTGCAAAAAGCTGTTGCCTTCCCAGAGGACCGGCTGTTGCGTGTGCTGGAGCAGATGTACACTTCACAATGAAACAAGCAGCTAATGGGGTTTGCCCACTGTGGCTGGCTTAACGTGAACAGACAACCCACAGGGAGAAGGGCTGTATCTGGGGGGTTTTGAGTTGTTAATGGAAGCTGAACACTCGGCATCTTATAAGATTGTGCCCTGTGGTAGCACGTTGAATGTTCTGTGAAATCTCTGCAAAACGCATATTCCAATTATGTCGTATTCATGAAGCCTGTGGAAGGCCCCATCACATGTGCTGTCTGATCCAGAAGAGATCATTTTATGCTTTTAAATGCTACTCTCTTCGTGCTTAAATGTACAGAGATGTCTGGGTACAAAGAAACTTTAAAATCCTGAAGTGTTTCTTTTTTGCCTAGAAGCAGTCATTCGCTTAACTTTGTCATTGGCCTTACCTTTCTTTGCAGATGCAGGCATGGGTCATTTGGCATTTCTGGTTTTCCCAGAAAGAGCCAGGATAACACAAGAAAAAGGTCCCCTCCTTTAATTAATACATTTCAGACAAAGTTATAGTTTGTGTCCAGTAGTTCCTCATTTAACACTATAGATCTGTTTCAGAAAATGATCGTGTTAAGTGAAAATGTGTTATGTGGGATCAATTTTCCCATTGAAAATAATGGAAAAGGTGCGGGGTGCATTTCAAGTGGTGGTGTCTGTTGGGACCGGGACATAAGGTTGGGGGAGAAAGGGGACTGGGTTACAGCAGGGAGGGGAGATGTTTGGCTCTGGAGATGGGAAGGGGAGGAGAGGGAAGGGGGATTGGGTTGGGGGTATGCCCCTGTGACGGGTCTGCCGGGACCCACACTGTGTCCAGCGAGAGAGGGGGGGCGCAGAACGGCACGGCAAACCCTTTGCTGCTTTGCAGGGAGGCAGGGGAAGACCTGCGCAGCTGCCAGCGACCGGCCGGCTGGGGG